CGGGCCACAGGCGCCGCCGCCTCCGGGCACTCCGAGCCGGCACGAGAAAAGCCTGGGACTTCTCACTACCAAGTTTGTGTCACTTCTGCAGGAGGCGAAGGACGGCGTGCTTGACCTCAAGCTGGTGCGGCCCGAGCTAAGGAGCGACAAGGGGGATGGTGGGCCAGGCCTGGGTCGATAGCGGGAACCCCCAGGGCGACCCACCCGGCTCCTCCGAGAGCGGATTGCCACCGTGTATTTTCTCACAGGAGAAAGGTCGGGGCTGTTTCATTCATTCGGCCGAGGCAATTGAGCGTCAGCTGTGTGCCAGGCTCAGGGCTGCAGGTGCTTCTCCTCGTGGCCCTTCCTGGCTGGCGTGGGGAGAGAAGCTTCAGAACATCACTTCAGGGCTGTGCTGATGTTCTTCTCACTCTGCGGTTCTGAGTTGCAGCAGTGCCTGGGATACACTGCAGGATGGGGACCCAGGCTACCCGCTTCCCAGCCCGCATCTCAGGGTAGCTGGTGTACACCTGAGAGTGGGACTTAGCATTCTCCACTCTGTTCTGTCTGCCAGGCAGCTGACACCCTAGCTGTGCGCCAGAAGCGGCGGATTTACGACATCACCAACGTGCTGGAAGGTATCGGACTGATCGAGAAAAAATCCAAGAACAGCATCCAGTGGAAGTGAGTGGAGAGGACGTCTAGGAGGGCAGTAGGGTCTCCTACCCAGGAGTGTTAGGGTGTGGGGCGGGTGCAGGAGAGGGCAGGGGCAGTGGGACCCAGAGCTCCAGACAGTCCCTCTCAGCCCCACTTCCTGGGTTCAGGGGTGTGGGGCCTGGCTGCAATACCCGGGAGATTGCCGACAAACTGATTGAGCTCAAGGCAGAGATCGAGGAGCTGCAGCAGCGGGAGCAAGAACTGGACCAGCACAAGGTGTGGGTGCAGCAAAGCATCCGGAACGTCACAGAGGACGTGCAGAACAGCTGATATCCTCCTGGCTGTCCCTGCTGGGGGCGGGAGCAGGGAGGGTCGGATGTGGGCAAGGGGCCCTCTGGTCCAGCTGGGCTTGCTCTGTAGTGTCCTGGGCCCTCTCCTTCTTGGGATGTGGTCCAATAGCCCTTGGCCAGGTCCTACCTTTGGCTCCCTCCTCAGAGTCCCTCCCCCTCCAGCCTTGGCCTGTGATTCCTCCCCATGTGGACCCCAGTCCCCAGAACTTTCTCTGGGGGTTTGCGTGTCAGACCTCTGCTACAGAATTGGGTCTTCTCTGTAGTCTGCCATCTGTCACCATAGGCAGGGCATTGGCCGTTCTCCTTAACCCCCACACCTTGGCCTACGTGACTCATGAAGACATCTGCAGATGCTTTGCTGGTGAGCAGAGTCTGGGTAAAGGGAGATGGGGGTGGACTGTGGAATCAGTGCCCAAGGAGAGTTCTGTCTCTTGAGAGGGTTCCTGGGGCCTGTTCAAAGAAGAACCAGGCAGGGTAAGTCTTCTGTTTGAGGGTTCCTGGGATCCTATGGAAGCTTAGGATCCCCCAATACTAAGAGAGTACAGGAATTCTGGAGTGGGTCCTTGGGTTTGCTTCTATTTGCATTGTCCCCTGGATTTGGCCTCTTGGGCATAATAGAGGCACAAGAAAGGAGAGAGAATATGCATGTGTGCACCTGTGTGCAGATTCTAACATGTTTGAATGCAAGGGACAATGGGGCCACTTCCAACCTGTAGCTAGTTTAGTTGCATTGTGGATACAAGAGCTGTTTCATCTCCGTCTTGTATTCCTCAGGCTGGTCCTGGAAAAGGGACATACAATGTCCTTGGCCAGAACATCTGTACCTAAGGATTAACTTTGTCAATTGAGGAGTGAGTTGCCCACATCAGTGATCTTTCACTGTTCATATTTGAACCCAGATTTCCTGGTTACTGACCCTGGGTTCTCAGGAAGAGAAAAGCTTTAGCTCTGCCCAGCCACTATCGAGAATGGGTGAGACCTACTGTCTAGTCCTTCAGAGACCATGATCTCCTGCCTTGCTCAAAGAGCTGGGCACCTCCATTCCCAGCTCAGACAGAGCCCATGGGCGCTGACCCATTCTCCTTGTCATTCTAGGAGACACCCTCCTGGCCATCCGGGCCCCATCGGGCACCAGCCTAGAGGTGCCCATCCCAGAGGTGGGTGCTCAGCCGAGGCAGGCGGGGTAGACTGAGGGCGGGTGCTGGCTGTGGAGCTTGATAAGTCCCGGGTGGGGCAGGTAAAGGGAGGCCTGGGGTTTGGGGTTATCTAGGAGGATGGGCAGCCTGAGTGGGAGAGGACACTGTGGCCCCGACCCAGGGTCAGGTGGGAACCGAGCCTGCTTCCAATTCTACCTGTCCCCCATCCCTTACCACCTACTTTAAGGGTCTCAATGGGCAGAAGAAGTACCAGATTCACCTAAAGAGCGTGAGTGGCCCCATTGAGGTACTGTTGGTGAACAAAGAGGCATGGAGCGCACCTGTAGCTGTTCCTGTGCCACCACCTGAAGATCTGCTTCAGAGCACACCTGCTGTTCCTACCTCTCCACCTCTGCCCAAGCCTACCCTAGCCCAGACCCAGGAAGCCTCACGCCCAAGCAGTCCTCAGCTAACCACCCCTACCCCTGTCCCTGGCAGTACCGAAATCCAGGGAGTGACCAGCCCAACAGCTGAGATCACAGGTAAGGCACGATGGGAGCTGATGATGGGGTTATCTTCTGGGGCCCAAGAGGCCATTCTCGGTGCTATGGAAAGCTACATGTCCTTTTCTAACATGGAAGCTCTGACTGTAGGAAGAGACATTAATGGTGGCAGTTTTCCCTAGATCCACCAGTGTCTCACTTACCCTGTCAGCCCATCTTGAAATATGGTCACAGCAGACATGTTGTCCACTAGTCTCCTTCTTATAGGCCTGTGCCTCGTCTCCTGTGGTGACTTGTTTCCAGGTTATCTCTTCTGGAGTGAATGGCAATGGCTATTTCTCCTTGGGACTGAGAACCAGGGCTGTAGTCATCCTGGCCATGGGTTCTAGCACAACCAGGCTCAGTGACCCGCTGCCTGTTCCCATGTGACTGGGTTTGGGGGATGTGGTTGCAGTGAGTGGCGGTCCTGGAACTGAGAGCAAGGACAGTGGTGAGCTCAGCTCACTCCCACTGGGCCCGACAGCACTGGACACCCGGCCACTGCAGTCTTCTGCCCTGCTAGACAGCAGCAGCAGCAGCAGCAGTAATAGTAATAGCAGCAGTTCATCTGGATCGAACCCTTCTACCTCCTTTGAGCCCATCAAGGCGGACCCCACAGGTGGTGAGTACCTGCCTGCCAGGGACAGGGAGAATCCAGCCTCAGCCTACTCCTAGGTTAGAAACAGAATTGGAAATGC